GATAAAGTATGGGCAAGACATGATAGTTAAAAATATATACAGTAGTTGTTTTGTTCTTACCTGTGACGGCAGCTTAGCTCTGAGCTCTGTGTGTTACGGTGAGATCACCTCTTGTTTACAACCGTGCGCGTTCACGGCTCTGGGCCCTGCTGTGGGGGAGGAGCCTAGGAAGGGGAGCTGAGAGCAGGGAAGGGGACTACAAGGTTGTTTCTGTTCAAAATTTTCTAAGTTTTTGGGTACCCAAGAAACTACATACAGCAGCTTTAACCCATTGGCAGAAATTTTTCACTTAATTTGAGTCAAATTTTCAGACTAACAAAACAAATAATCTTACACATTCTGAAAACAAGATTATTAGTCTTACATAATCAGTTCTTGTTTAGTAAATCAGTCTCAAAACAAGATCAAAAAGACTTTTTGGCTGGATATAAGATTTTAAAACTTGGTAAGATGGACAGTTTTTACAGTGCAGAATATTAGAAGAAAACTATCGGATGATGTTGAAGTGGTCCTGCTAGATCTGGTAGTATGGGTCTGGAACACAAAAACAGAGATGAGCATGGCGACTGGATGAGAACTGGGGAAAACAAAAACAGAGAATTATCAGTTATCAGGGATCCACCAGGTCCAAGAGTCCAGTTACTGCAGGGCTGGGTGAGCTGAGGCCTGGAGGGAGTCAGAAGTTTGACAGAAAACAGGTTATTGCATCCACAATCCAATAGATCGAGGTCCAAAAATAATCCAGGTTCTCAGAGGAAAATCCAGAATACAACAGGCTAGAAACAAGTTCAGACAAAGTACAGCAACAGGAGGTCAAAAACTTTACTCACTCAAGGTTTAGGCAAAAGGGTGACATAGTGGCTCAGTTGGTGGAGCTGATGCCTCTCAGCAAGAAGGTCACCGGTTCAAATCCCGGTCCGGGGACCTTTCTGGGTAGAGTTTGCATGTTCTCTCCGTGCATGTGTGGGTTCTCTCCGGGTACTCTGACTTCCTCCCACAGACCAAAAACATGACTGTTAGGTTAATTGATAACTCTAAATTGTCCCTAGGTGAGAGTGAGAGAGTGAATGGTTGTTTGTCTTTGTCTCTATGTGTGGCCCTGTGATGGACTTGCGACCTGTCCAGGGTGTACCCCGCCCCTCGCACTGTGACTGCTGGATATGGGCACCAGTGACCCACACAACCCTGAAAAGGAAGAAGTGTGTACAGAAAATGGATGGATGGTTTAGGCAAAAGGCAGTGGTCAGAGGCAGGCAGGGTCTTCTTCTTCTCTTTAGTGTTTTTTGGCAGTTGGCAAACAATTGTAACAGGCAGGGTCAAAAACCAGAAACAGATCATGAAACAAGGCTTGAAGGCTGAGACAAAGGCAGATGATCTCACACTGAGTAGGTGAAGAACAGGTGTTCAAGCAGGTGGGGACAACGAGCAATCAGCAGGAGAGGGAGGGAGAGTGAGCAGCCCAATCAAGGAAGAACTGAAATCATGACACAAATGACTTTACCTTTTGTGGATGTATATATCAGTAACCTTGTGCTAGAAGACGTGACTATTTCCCACATGCTTTCTTAAAATGTCTATGAAGAAGCTTTCATTTGTATTTACAATGTAAATTTGGAATTCAATCCTTTATATTTTGCATAATGAACTGAAAAATGCTGAAAGTCATTGTATGGTTTCTTTACTCTGTCAGATTTCATATGACCTCACAAGAACGCTGACAAAAAACAAGGACTCCCTCCCACAGAATCTGCAGCTCACAATGAAGTGTAAGTATCTGGCACTTAATACCAATATAAGCACAATGTGTCGTCAGAGCGTGTTCGAGCACAAAAGCGCTCTCTTGTTTAAAAACAACGCACTCAAGAATTGCTCCATGTCTCTGTCTGGTTGTGGTTGTGAGTGTGTTTCATCCCATGTGCAGCAGGCACTGTCTGTGTGTAAATTGTCTAAATAAGCTGCCAGATGTGGGGTGTTGTGGCTACMAGGACACAGCCACTCGTTGTGTGGATGCCAGCCTAGCCTTGCGTCCAGCAGCCTAATTGGTATAATTTCCATGATGAGGCTAATCTTTTAAAGACTAAACCTTCACTCATTTTTTTGGATCTTATTCCTCTGTCTGACTAGCTGACACATTGCTGGTTTGCATCCATAAAAGCCAAATAACATGTTGTTATTATTAATGTGTACCACCACTCCTTACTTTTTATAGACAAAAATAAATCTGTGATATCTATTTAAATTAAACCACAATGCTGTAAACACACCAAGAGACAACTTAAGAAGATGAAAAGCAGATCATGAGATTGAAAGAAGCATCACTCTTCAAACTCAAAGATCAAGTTCCACATTTCAGTGTTGAAGCATATTTGGACCATACCCATAAAGAGGGCCTGTGTGTGGCTGATTCATTGACAATTTGCAGCATGATTGCCTCCAAAAGGAAAGTACTTGAAACTTATAGAGACTATTTTAAGAACCCCTGTGGAGAATGGACTAGACAATGGTTTACTGATGTGATAGTGGCTATCAGTGCCAGTAAAATTTCTACAGGACCTGCTTGTAAGCTTTTTAACAGGCTTTTAAACTGGTTATAACAGTAGTACAGGGATGTCTTAGTGTTTCCTGAGAGGGTGCATTTGCAAAGGAGCATAGCTGCTTCCTGATAGCTAAGAAAGTTGTGCCTGGGTGGGTGTGACGGTTTGAGAGACCAGGAATATATCTACAGGGGTTGGACAGTGAAACTGAAACACCTGTCATTTTAGTGTGGAAGGGTACATGGCTAAATTGGACCAGCCTGGTGGCCAGTCTTCATTAATTACACATTGCAGTAAGAGCAGAGTGTGAAGGTTCAATTAGCAGGGTAAGAGCACAGTTTGGCTCAAAACATTGCAATGTACACAACATTATGGGTGACATACCAGAGTTCAAAAGAGGACAAATTGTTAATGCACATCTTGCTGGTGCATCTGTGACCAAGACAGCAAGTCTTTGTGATGCATCAAGAGCCACGATATCCAGGGTAATGTCAGCATACCACCAAGAAGGATGAACCACATCCAACAGGATAAACTGTGGACGCAAGAGGAAGCTGTCTGAAAGGGATGTTGTGGTCTAAAACCAGGCGTTTCAGTTTCATTGTCTAACCCCTGTACATTATAATAGGTTATGTTGGACATGAAGACCATAGCTGGTTTGTCATTTTATGTCAAGGGCCTTTTAGCAGAAATTAAAACTTTTCAAATGACTTATCCAAAGCCCAAAGTATGTTTTTCTTTTTTTATTGCCCTGTCCACCTGAAAGCTTTCACCTGTATTTTTTTTCTAATTTTCTTTTAAACATTCTCATGGAAGTTACTTAACCTTTATACATTTTTCTAAATGACTTTATTGTTGTTCACAGCTGAACGTTTACATATGTATGTATCTTCAACTACTCCTATTTTTATCCTTCCTTTCTTTCCTCCTTTATGTCCACTTGATGAATTTTGCCCCTGTTTTCCTTTCTATTATTTTTTTGCTCTCTATATTGTCCTCCACCCCCTTTCTCCACCAATACTGTGGCTTACTCTTTCGCTTCTTGTCCTCCCTCTCTGTATGTATGTGCGTGGTGCCCGGCAGCCAGTGAAAGCGTGTTAATGCAGCAGCTCTTCCAGTCCAAGCTGACTCAGACTGGTTCTCTGGTGCCAGCAGCCCAGAGCCACATAGGGCTGAGAGGGACTAAAGCTGCCTTATTGTTCCAAAAGATGCCATCAGCATCCTCCATCAATGCCACTTCTGTCCCGCAACAGCCTCGGAGGTACCATGATCTCACAAAGGTAAAGCATGTTGTTCACACAGCGAGAGGCTGCGGTTAATTAAGTTACATTCAACTTGGGCTGAGCATTAGTACTTGACTGATTTTAAAACATTTGATCARTTATCTCAAGCTTAAAGTGACAAAACCACAAGAACAGTCTGCTGGGCCTATCTATGGAAAAACAGGGATGCTATTTTTAGAAGAAAAAAATCTAATTTGAGCTACTTCCCACTGCGCATCTATATATAAACCTCTGGGAATTGGATGTGTTTGTGCACTCATGCAGGAGATAAAAATCCCTCAAAAATGCACACACATGCACATAAAGTTTGGGCTTATGCACTTTTTCTGCAGTCCCTAAAACTAATGACACTTGTAAAGCTAGTGTCCCAGCACCTTCTTGTTTAATGTCTGCTTTCCTTCTATGTATCTCCCTCTATTTTTTTTTATCCCCACTAGTATTAAAACACACACAAAACACATACATACAGTGTACTTGTGCACATGTGTGAGTAAAAAGCCTTACTTGTTGTGTAACCTCCTGGAGGTCCAGTCTTCTGTCTCTGTGGCTCATTAACCATGTAGAGCAAAGGCTTACATAAGGCCCTCTTTCAGCTCCCTGATCTGTCCCAGCAGCCTTATGCAGAAACATTAAATACTTTTGCTGAGCTGCTGAGTAAGACTGTAAATTTAGCATTATGGCATAGTAAATGTCACGGGTCTTGTTAAGCTTTGAAGCATAAAAGTCGTAACTGGGACTAAATTCTGTGGCAGGGCTATTTACTGTAATTGCAAACATGCCATCAAAGACACCATCATCATCATGTTTTTGGGCTCTATTTAAGACCAGACAATCAAATTTAATGATATAACTGTTTTTCTTAATGCTCTGTGCTCCTTACTGGTCACTTGAGACTCAGCTAATATGCTCTTGGTTTTCTCGTCTTATTGTCAGATCTTGAAGAAAAAAGGCTCAAGTTCTTTCCTCCAGCGACTAGAGCGCTGCGGGCCCATCACAGTGGGTGTCCAGCTGAGGGTACGGACACTTCCTGTTATTTTTTACACTCTGATTAATTAAACCAATAGAAAGATTTTGTCAAAATAAATGCTTTTTTTTTATTGCCTGCAAATGTAAAGCAGGCCTTTTTTCCTCTATGATAGTGCACGTACACATTTGTCTGCCTTTTACCAAAATATTTTAATGAACCACTGAACAGATTTCAATGAAACTCTTAGAAAGTAAAAAATTTGGTGCACATTTACAACTAAATTCCAAATGGCTGTCACAGCTAAACAACATTAGCCAGCATTAAAATGGCAATAACTGTCAATTTTGCAGATTTTGAGCTAAAATTGAATGTGGTAGTATCTGAGAGTCACTCACAACATRTACTTTAAGTGTTAAGTCACTGTGCAACACCTTATAATAATGTTATTATATAATGTTATTTTCAAAGTTTGACCAAAACAGCTATAATTTTGACTGTTTTCAAATTAAGATAATCTAAAACCTGGCCTGAAAGACAATATGTATCAAGGCTCCCATATACTTGGGTGTACTTTGTGCAGTCCGTGAGCCGCGCAGACTCCGCGCAAATTGTCCACCCAGTTTGCATTTAAGCTTTAAAACAACAGAAATAAAATTAAAAAAAACTACCTTACCCAGGATCTGTGCTATTTCCTCCCACAAATTTGTTGCTCCCTGAAAGTCCTTATATTCCTTCATTGACGTATCATAAGGTTTAGTAATATTCTCCATGAGACGCTCTTCAAAATTTGACTCCATTTTGTTCACAAATGACACTGATTCTCAACTTTATTAGCTCCAAAACAGTACTCACCCATCAGTTTATTGTGTGACACCGCATACACGGTCGTAATAAAATGATCTCTGCGCGGACCAGTCCGGCAGATGGCCACGAGTCCACCTCGAGTCCGCACGGACCTCCGCAGAGCGAAGTAAGCCCGAGTATGTGGGGGCCTTTATTTTAAAGAAATACTAGGTCTTTCTATAGTTATCATCAAACATCTGGGTCAGTTATTTTCTTTAAACAAAGAGCTTGTTTGCTAGGATTAGTTTTATTTTAGTTCTTATCTGAASTCTCTGCCTTCGTCACAGTTGTACTCAGTCTTTATAAGAATGCATCTCTGAGACGTACGCAGCGATTTCATGGCCCTTTTTTTTAAAGCAACAATAACATTCAGTTAGCAAAGAGCAGTTGGGGCTATGCCACTGACGCAAGAAGGCTGAGATGTGTTCCAGAGGAGGAGTACCTTTGGTCTGAATGAAACCACTGTGTTGCACAATCAGAGTTGTGGACCTGCGGTCGACGAGCCCCCTCAGGGAATGGCAGTGAGGGAGAGAGTGGGCTGAAGAAAGATGCTGTACCAAGCCAAACATGAAGCCCGCCGCATGAATGAATGAAAGAATGAACAATGAACAACAGCTACTGGGATTTGTGTGCATGTTTCAAGAGAAGATGGCATTGTGAGGCACTGAGCATTGTACCTGAGGCTCTGCTGCAGACTGATGTCAGATGTGGGCATGGCATAAAGCACAGATATTCGTGTTTACGCGCATGCATCCATGTGACCTTGAATGCTGAATTTTTTGAATTGAGGATTTGAAGAAAAGCTCTTTCACGCTTTCTCAGAAAAGTAAAGACTTTGTGTTCTTGATTCCTTCAAAGGCAAGACACACACCCAGAAGTCAGAACACTTTACCACAAACACAGTCATCCTAATAAAAAGACATCAAGGAAAAAAAACATGACTTGCTTCCCAGTAAAGCTAGCCACAGAGTTCCTCTGAACTCGCACACTAATGAATGTTCACAACAGCATGTTGTTTATCATTAAAGCTATCTTTGAGATCTTTTGAAGTGGGATTAATTACTAATTTCCAGTTTGTTGTAGCTGTCTCTTCAGTTTAGAGAAAAAGAGCTTTATTACAACCAAAGTGGATTTCTGCCATCTTACCACAATACCAATCTTTCAACAGTCATGCGGACAGTATTTTACAGAGCTGTAAAACGGTATTCACCCATCACAGATCTCTTCTGTTAGTTAAAAATCTGCTGAGTAATTACAAAATCCTATTTCAAACTGATGATTTCATTTATAAAGATATAAAAGCTATTTACACATACATGGCCCCAGGTGAAAAAGTAATTGCCCCCTAAAACAAATAACTGGTTGTGCCACCCTTGGGAACAACTGCAATCAAGCATTTATACTAAATGGCAATGACGGTTTTCACTTGGCTTTCTGCTGAAGTGCTTCAGAAAATTGCCCTGTGTGCTTGAAGGGGACATATCATGCAAAATCCACTTTTTTAGCTGTTAAATGCATTTTGTACCTGGAGTCTCCATGAGTGCAAAAAAGTTTAATTCAATYTCTCTCRGTGCTGCATWGATGTATTTATATTCTGTCTGGGTCATATATTTCMACCCTTTCAGTTTTCCCTAATTTCTATGATGTTTTCTAAACTGTTAAATCACAGTTTTTGCAACAAAGCTGCCAAATAAGGTCTGGACTTACCACTTTTGTTCTTCATCCTTTTCTCGCTCTAAATCAGACTCTGCCTCCAACATGTGAGGCTGGATGGGCAAGTCTTCTGCCGTTGACATATTTTAATTACTTGTAAAGAAAACATTTCTATGCCACTATATACTGTAGTTG